CACTTCAAGATCTTTTCTGACCACTCCACTCTGCAGTGATTGAAGTCCCAGGGAGAGTTGAATGATAAGATGGCACGCTACATTCAATTCATCGATCTGTTTGACTTTGAACTGAAACATAAGAAGGGCTGCTACAATAAAGTAGTTGACGCCCTCTTTCATAGGCCTGATTCTTTTGCGCTGATCTCCTCTACTCACTCCTTTGGAGAGGAGGTCCGTCAGACCATTACTCGCCTACTGCCTCAGGATCTGACTTATGAACCCATCGTCAGGAATCTGCAAGCAAATCCCAATTCTGAACCTGGCTATGCTACGAGTTCAGATCTACTGTACACCTACAGCAGAGGAGAGGAGCGCCTATGTATTCCTGAGGATCAGCAGCTGAGGACACTGCTGATGTCAGAGTGCCACGATGCGCGTGGACACTTTGGGTTCTTAAAGTCGTATGCAGCCCTGTTGCAGCGCTTCTTTTGGAAGGAGATGCGGAGTGATATGCTGCGCTATGTGGAAACTTGTGAGCTATGTCAGAGCAATAAGGTCCAGCGTAAACCTCCTCAGGGACTGCTCAAACCCTTGCCATACCTGATGGTCCTGCACAGTCTGTATCCATTGATTTCACAGACTTAGGCAAGACCACCCCTCGTGGCATGCGTCAGGTCATGGTCTGCGTTGACAGGTTTTCCAAATACGCAGAGTTCATCCCCTTACAAGAGATGGCGAGGGTCCCGGCTGTGAGAGCAGCCTTTTCTGAGAGGTGGGTCACACACCATGGGCCGCCCACTTCTATTGTTAGCGATCGAGATCCCCGATTTTGCAGCGACGAGTGGCAGTCCTACTGTAAGGACTACCTACACTCTCGACTGGACATGAAGTCTGGGCGTCATCCGGAAGCCAATGGACACCCAGAAGAACTCACACACGCCCATACATGCATGGGACCAAGGGGAGGAGGAGACAGAGTCCAACTGCACACAGATCAGAGATAAACAGCGGAATAGCAACCATGCACAAAAGGGAGAATAGACGTAGTGTTTCTCTCTCTCTGACGAACTCCCAACAACCAATCACAATATGACACTGCGAAGATCACAATTGGAAAGTAATCCAGATGATGAGCCAACTCAACACAATTAACCTCAATTATCGTTTCAGAGTTCAACCCAGTGTCTCGCCACCCCAGTACCACACACTCCACTCACTACTCCACTCTCAGAGTCTAGCGCTGTACTGAAACAGCCTCCCAAAGGCCAGCGCCATACACCCAGAGGAAGATCATGAACAGCGATGTAGTCCCCAGTGCCGATGAGTCACTCTGACGATGAAGAAGGCAGCTATGGCTGCCAGGCTGCTACCGCAGCAGCAGTACCCACATGTACCCGGTGAAGAGCCTCGGTATGGTCCTGCCAACGCAGATATCCCCCAGGGGGTAGATGCGCTGAGCACAGCCCCAGCTATGGCTGCCTCACGCAGCTGAAGTCTCAGGTGCCGCTGTAGGCTTCAGTGCTGTAAAACTTGGTTGTCCACGAACGCTGCACGCGAAAAATGAAAAGCCAAAAGTCCCAAACTCTTTTCCCTACCGGACTTATAGACTTTCTACTCTAGCCTAGACCTAGACCGGACTGACTGGACTGACCGGTACCGTTGCTGTTTCGGCCTCTCGGCCTCTACCGTACCCGGCTATAGGCTATAGGACCGTATAGCAGTATAGGCCACTTAGGGCCTGTCKGTCCTAGGGGTAGCCCGGGCCTGCTATAGGCAGTTAGGGTAGCTGTAGGAATTCGGTTAGTACCGGGCCTGTATTTTTCCCGGATTTGCAGATCTGTCCCTCACGAATTTCCTCCCAGACGGACCTCTCGGTGAGCCCTCAGCCAAACAAAATTACAAAACTAACCCTACGGTTAGTGTACAGCCTCGCAGTGAATCTCGGCAGCAGAACTCAGCAAGTCATTGCATAGGCCACCGGGAGAATGTCCTGCATCCATTCTTTTTTAGTTGCTTCCACTCATTGCATGTACTTAAAAATTGGAAACCAAAAAACAAAAAGGTGGACGATGCTGACCTGTCAAAGAACTGCCCCTCCATTTCACACAATCTTGCATGTGTCCAACTCACAGGTAATAGCACCAGATCAATCTGCGAAGAGAGAGCAGGAGACGGTGAGGAGGAGGAGGAGGAGGAGGAGGAGGAGGAGGGGGAGGAGGACGGTGACAAGGAGGATGGTGAGGACCAGGAATAGGAAGAAAAAAAAGGTATATAAACTGGGGGAATAAAAGAGCAAGAGAGAGGAAGGACATCAAAAATGAAACACAAATGATAAACCATCCACAAAAGAAGGATTAGTAGAAGGAAAACAAGCACAAGATTGCTCACGCATAGATGGGTGGCAACTCTCCGTGGCCAAGCAGCGCTAATCAGGTGCACCGCCCTGCAGGCCTTCTCAAGGGAAATCACCCTTCTGGCCTTGACTGAACAGAGATCTGAGGGACTCAAACTTGAGCAAGAGCGTGAAGCTTTTACAGCCCTGCGTTTTCAATCACATATTTACAATTGTAATCTACTACTTTTTGTTTATTTATTTAAACATCGCTACCTACCAAAAGAAAAGGAAGAAAAAGAAGGAAACTTCAGAAATAATATTGAAATCCACCCGAGCGTCGAGGCCAAATTCGGTAGCTTTTAATTGTTCTTTGGACCTCTTTCACCATACCCTCAATGTCGTACGTAATCCATTCCTTACAAAAAAATAATGATGATGATGATGATGATGATGATGATTGCAATGAACCCAGTCTCGCGGAGAATCCAATCAATAAAGCAATGCAAGTCTGAACCCAGCGCACAAAATAGAGTCCAGATATCGATTCTATGCACAATTCAGAAGCCATACAGAGAAGAGAGTAGACGGAGGAGAGATTAGACAGGAGAGAGGAGAAGAAGACTTCCACTCACGCTTCTGCTTTGAGCGTCTGCCCTATCGCCACCTCAGCAATGCATACTCTCGTCTGCCGTCCCCTGACATAATCACTGTGCAGATCCTCGCACGGCGCCCATCCTCCTGTCATAACCACAACAAGCTATGGAGGATGGTGGAGTTCTACCTCACCCTCGTGGAGGACAGCAGCCGATCACACATGTCGACGCCAGTTATGTACAGGTAAGCTCTCCATCAATCTCACAGCACTAATCCTCCTCCTTCTCGCCCGAACTCATCACCTACATCTACAGCTATGGCGGCTCTGGCCGCGCCAACATAACCTCCGTCTAGGTTGGCACCCTCCAGCAGCTTCTGACGCCAGCATTTACGCCAACAGCCTCGCGTAGCATGAGCCAGCGCAAGGCAGAATGTGCTCCCCAGTGGTCTGACCGCCAATATATAGCGTTTGATTGGCGTTGACCAGTCCGTCCTCTGCCCGCATCGACGATCAAGATTTTCCCGGTCTCGGCGGCCTGGATGCCTCCTTCAGGCAGAAGTACCGTATCACAACTCGTACCTGAATCTTCTGGATACCTGCAGACAACCATTGATGTGCATCTGATCGACGGCCGTGATGGACTACTGAATTGACTTTGACTTGGGCCTGTTTCTCCAGTGCTGGGCCTGACTCTTGAGTTTCCAAGGGTAAACTGTTCCTCGTGGGGGTACCGGACGCTTCTTTCGGACTCACGGCTTCGTACCCCTTGACTCTAAAGACTTCCCCAGATCTATAAAGGACTCAGGACACGACTTTTGACCCTCTTTCTGGCCTCTGACCAAAGGTTGCAGCCCTGTCCTTGACTCATGCGGATTTTCAACTGAGTTTGTCGCAATGATGGCGATGATAACGATGATGACGACGACGACGACGATGATGATGATGATGATGGTGCTATGAATTCTAAAAATAGAGTGCAAAAAAATGCCAAAGAGCTGCAAGAAGTTTTTAAACACTTAAATAAAATCTAATAAATGAAATTCAGTAATGTGCAAGGAAAATAAGCAACAGCAAGATGACAATCCCAGATCACACCATCACATTGCAAGTCAAATAGTCACACCGTGCCCAGATAGCAGCATTGCACCAATAATACACCAATGGAGTTTTCGTAGCACTGAAAACCAATGTTTATGGAGAGCACACTCTCTCCTCTTCAACACAAGTATCCAGTTCCCTTACACTCACACTTGGCGCTCAGCGCCCAGCCTACTTCTACACAGCTACTACAGACTACAAAAAGACAATGCAACTGTTGACATCAGCAGCAGCCCGAAGTACTTGAAGATGCCGCCCATGCAGACCATCGCCAATACAAGGTACGTGCCCTCACATCATCATCATCATCATCATCCTTCACCTATCCCCTGACTTCACCCACACCTGTCCTCTCTGACACCCGAAGAACCACCCCTGCGCCTCACTCTGTCCAAGCCAAGCCCGCCATGGAGGCTGGCTATGGTGCTGCCCTCAGCAGCGCCCTGTTCCCCTACACGACCGCACGTGTGTTGCCCCTTGCTCCTCTGCCGGCAGTCAGCCTGCGAGCTTTTGCTCCAGCAGCGCTGCCGCCCAGCCAGCAAGTGACCGAATGAGCTGCCTGGCCAGAGCTCTTTCCTTTATGGAAAAGAGCTGGCCAGCTCTCGCAGCCTGGCTGGGCTGGCCTGGGCCCAGCAGCTTCCGGAAGGCCCCAGGATGCTGTCTGGATGCAGCAGCTACTGGGCTGCTGGGCCTCGTTCGGTTGGGCGCCCAACTGTCTCTGTATGAGGCTGCGAATCACGCCCAGGGACTGCATTCTTTGGAAAGGCCCGGTAGGCCGTGGAAATGTCTTCGGTACTCAGCCTGTGTTTCTTTCAACCAACTGGCGCGTCGCAACTGCCTGGACCCCAAATATGAAATTGACAGTCGAGGGCCTCTTGCAAAAAGCCAGGCCCGCCTTCACTTAGGGCGGGCACCTCCGCCTTCACTTAGGGCGGGTTAGGCTGCAGACAGGGCCCCGTAGGCCTACCGAGGACACTGATCCTCGCAAATGTTTTTAGTAACTTTTTACTAATTTTAATAATTTACACTTAAAAATTACAATGCATGTGTAAAGTATTCAAATTTCAAATACAAAGTGGTGAAATAAATACTGAGAAGGAAATGGATTAAAAAAAAAAAAAAGAGGCTTCTGTCCCTCCTGCACTCAAGTAGTGCGAGTACGGTGTAACAGCGTATTCACACTAGGACATTTTTTTCAACTGAATATGGACGTACTTATGGGGAGATGCGTCCAGGAAAGCCCTGCATGTGAATGCACCACAGCGCTCTAGGCTACACAAAACCAAACATGAACTTTGATCCAACTTTTGGACGAGGCTTACCTACCTGCCTGGTTGCTATATAGTACACACATATGACTGCTAAGAAAGTTAAAGAAACACACAGAGTTAAAATCTAGTTGAATTCTCTTGAATACAACAATGTTAGGGTATAAATTCTGTATAACCCCCCCCCTTAACAAAAAAAAAAACAATGAACAGGATGCCCAGTGCCCACCTACACAATTTTTCGTACACACACACAGAGAGAGAGAGAGAGAGAGAGAGAGAGAGAGAGAGAGAGAGAGAGAGAGTGACAAAAATTGAAAAAAATCAAATCAGCTTTTGAAGTTTTTTCCGCCGAATTGATTCCAGAATGAAGGTTTGTCTCCCCGAACTCTTCTCGAATGAGCTTCGAGCGTCATCTCCTGCTTGACGGCCACTCTCTCTTTCTCCAGTACCTTCTTGCCCAGGCAGCAACCGTTCCGACACTGAGGGCCAGATATCCTGCAAACCACACGTGCGATACCATCAGAGAGGCTAATCGAGATGAAGAAAAAGAAAGTCCTTCAGAACATCCATTAAAAGTGGAGTGGACTGATACCGAGATTCCGAGAAGATTAGCACGGCCCCTGAGCAAGCATAGTTTGAAACTGGATTTGAAGTTCGAACCTGTGACCTTCAACTTAGAAGGTTGTGGCTCTATCCATCTGAGATAAGAATGCGTTTTTATATATTTTATTCTAGGCTACCAGCCGGCCCGGGTTATATACCTTGTTTGCCCGGGCGGCCCCGCCGTGCAAGGGCCAAAGAAAGTCCTAGCAAAAAACAAAAAACAAAAAAAAAAACTATGTTATGCAGAAAAATAAATTAAACAACTTTTGCCTCAGGGTCACATCGAAAATCTTTACCAAATTTAAAATAAAGCAAAGTAAATACTAAATACATATCGTCAAACAGAGATGCCCGGTAAGTCAAATAGAGCTGCCCGGTAAACCGTAGGCAGAGAGGGAGGGAGAAGAGGACAACAGACAAGGGGCTGTGACAAACTGTTTCGTCGGAGTTTCACCAACTCATCAGGAGGCTGAATCCTCTCTCTATATATAGGGAAAATTTGTCTGGCGCCCCTGTAATTTGGGTTATTTTGCGCCGCGCCCCTCCGACGGCCGATTTGCCCTGTCGCGCCCCTCTGAGCAGGGTTCAAAATCTCCATAAGACCCCGGTGTCGTTTGGGCCCCAAATCTTTTCGTTACGCCCCTACTGGTACAGGTCCCTAATTTGCGGGATGCCCCTACCGCATGGCCGTTAAAAGCCAGTGAGATTTTTTTCGAGATGCCCCTACGGGTACCATTTGCTGCCAAGCGATTTGCTGCCAAGCCATTTGCTGCTATGTCATCTGATGCCACGTCATCTTCTGCTATGTCATCTTATGCCACGTCATCAGCTGCCAGTCCATTTGCTACCAAGCCATTTGCTGCTATGGCATCATCTGCTGCCTCATCAGCTGATGTCAGGACATCTACTGCCAAGAGGGCGTCTGCTGCCAATCGCCCACAACTGCCACATGTACTACTGCTTTCCCAGATGCAGGGGCGGCCCCCTCTTCCGACAAACGAAAGGATGTTAGTGGTGGACAGTCTGAGTCAACGACGAGGGCAACGTCGACCTCGATGAATGCAAAGGTGGGAAAGAAGAAGTCCGGGACGCAAGTCAGGGGGCGGGCTTTGGCTCTTGCGAGTCCCTATCTCGTCTCGTCCGAAGGTAACGATTGATAGAAGAAGATGATGAAGGAGGAGAGGGGTGTTCTAATGGTGCTGAGCGCCTATGGCTGGTTGGTGGACTGTACAACG